TCTCGTATAGTAAACATTGCACATAACATCCTATTTTCTCCTCTCTGGGAAAAACATCGGCAAATATTTTTATTCATCTTAATTGGTAATGGGATTCTGAAAGAACAAGAATGGCAAATAAATATCTAAGGGAAAAAAAAGGCGTATGAGCTGTTGTTGAGTGTTTTTTCATGGCCTCAACGCTAATGAAAAGAAAACATGAGTCACCACTTTCGCTTCGTATGCCAGGCTCCATTACCTCAATATGTTGTGAACGGTATTGGCTGTTATGCCAAGTAAAATATATTTTTTTATATAAACAAATATCTGTGGTATTATCTGCAGAGAGCTCAACATTTGCTAATAGATTAATGCACGTCCAGGACTGGAAGTATTTGTCTGTACTTTGTACGTTCAGCCAACTTGTTTTTCCAAGATAACATGAGAGTACCGTACAATCCATCGACCATAGTGGACCGTTCGACATGGAATTCTCAATGTAACAAGATTAGTGCGCAAAAATAAACATTAGACGATGCCCTTAGATACACTCTGTATATATTATAAAAGCGCATTCCACCCTATTACACCCCGACTGCTCAGATAACCACACTGGCAGCACATGATACAGCGAAGGGTGTTAGATGAAATGAAACATGTTAGGGAAAATACTACTTTTTGTTAATGTTGATAAATATAAATATATTTGCACTAGTATCTTTAACCTTTTAGCCTCCATAGGGCCCCCCCCCCTTTATTTTTATTTTCCTTCGATTTTTTTTTGCTTCAAAATCACTTTAGGCTTGATGATTACTTAAAACTCCCAAACATTATATACACTGCTCAAAATAACTAATGGAAGACTTTTTAACCTCCTCGGTGGTCTGATTATTTTCGATTTTTTTTGTGCTGAAAGCGGTACTTTTTTTTGCATGGAAATATGTAGTTTTTTATTGTAGGCTGTAATTTTTAGGAATAACTCACTGAAATCTGTCCGAACAAGAGTCTAGTAAACATCCCGGGTATGATAAAATTTGAAACACGAAATCATAAATTATAATTTAATAAATAATCCTAAATAATAATAATATAATAATAATAAATGTAATTCAAAATATAATCAAACCAAAAACACTGAAATTTGAAATATAGCGCCAAGTTCTCACATCGCTGAGCAAAGTCGCTAAATCGTTTTCAGTGTCTGATGAGGAATTTCCCCCACGAATCATTATCACTCAATTCTGCAAGTGGTTCTGATTTACTATCGCTGTTCTCTAGCCGGTCTAAAACCGCTTTTGACCTAAAGGGACGCTTTTTGGACGCCATGGACTTTTCTCAGTTTCCAGGCAGAAAGAACAGTCAAAATGCAGGCAGGGCGCCGGACAAAGCACTCGGGAAAAAATGTATGTGAAATGCATTGAAACAGCAATGTTTTACTATGTAATAATCATTTTTAAAAAAATGACATTTTTTAAAAATTTCCAATTTCCCGCTGACGTCACAGGGACCGGAACACGGAAGCCGGATGCTGGCATCAGCCGGAGAGAAGATGGCCGGGGATGCTGCAGGGGACGCATCTCGGGAGCGAAGGACAAGGTAAGTGCTGCAGGGAATCCCTGAGCAACGCCGCATGGTAAGCCCGAGTGTAGCTCAGGGTTACCGCTTGTGGTACTGACATTTTACCCCGAGCTACACTCGGGAATACCGCTAAGGAGGTTAATCAGAGCACTGCATCAAGTCAATGAAACTCCTGGGATATTGATCTGGTCAGGTAAGTAGCAGAGGGGGTTGGTAATCCGTTTCAGCTGCTTTGGTGTTAATGAAATTAACAACAGGTGCACTAGATGGACAACAATGAGACAACCCCCCAAAACAGGAAAGGCGATACCTGGACCCTACAGAGGTTGCACAGGCAGTCCAACTCCAGGATGGTACATCAATACGTTCCATTGGCAGAAGGTTTTCTGTGTCTCCCAGCACAGTCTCAAGAGCATGGAGGAGATTCCAGGAGACAGGCAGTTACTCTAGGAGAGCTGGACACGGCCGTAGAAGGTCCTTAACCCATCAGCAGGACCGGTATCTGCGCCTTTGTGCAAGGAGGAACAGGATGAGCCCTGCCAGAACCCTACAAAATGACCTCCAGCAGGCCACTGGTGTGAATGTCTCTGACCAAACAATCAGAAACAGACTTCATGAGGGTGGCCTGAGGGCCCAACATCCTCTAGTGGGCCCTGTGCTCACTGCCCAGCGCCATACAGCTTGATTGGCATTTGCCATTGAACACCAGAATTGGCAGGTCCACCACTGGCACCCTGTGCTTTTCACAGATGAGAGCGGGTTCACCCTGAGCACATGTGACAGACTTGAAAGGATCTGGAGAAGCCGCGGAGAACATTATGTTGCCTGTAACATCATTCAGCATGACCGTTTTGGTGGTGGGTCAGTGATGGTCTGGGGAGGCATATCCATGGAGGGACACACAGACCTCTACAGGCTAGCCAACGGCACCCCTGTCTGCCATTAGGTATCCTTGGACCCATTGCTGCAGTAGGTCCTGGGTTCCTCCTGTTGCACGACAATGCCCTGCCTCATGTGGTGAGAGTATACAGACAGTTCCTGGAGGATTGATACCACTGAACGGACCCCCCACGCTCACCTGACCTAAATCCAATATAATACCTCTGGGATATCATGTTCCAGTCCATCCAAAGCCACCAGGTTGCTCCTCAGACTGTCCAGGAGGTCAGTGATGCTCTGGTCCAGATCTGGGAGGAAATCCCCCAAGACACCATCCGTGGTCTCATTAGGAGCCTCCTCCGACGTTGTCAGGCATGCATACAAGCACATGGGGGCCATACAACTACTGAGGACCATTCAGAGTTGCTGCAATGAAATTTCAGCAAAATGGACTCTCCTGCTGCATCATTTTTTCACTTTGATTTTCGGGGTGTGTTTGAATTCAGTCCTCTGTAGGTCGATCATTTTAATTTCCATCAAACAATGGGGCATCCTTACATTCCTAACACATGACCCCGTCCATATCAGTATAGAGATCCAGCATGATACTTTTCCCCATTGAGATCTGATGTGTTTTCAAAGTGTTCCTTGAATTTTTTTGAGCCGTGTATCTTCTGAAAGCGCCCTGGAGATTAAAATAGGAGTAGTTGCAATTTTTTTGTCACATAATATTTGCGCAATGGTTTATCAACCACAAATTTTCTATAGAAAATACACTAAAGTTCAATTTAGGGCACAAAAACAGAATGTATTACCTAATTTTCTGGTAAGATATGAAAGATGAGGTTGTGCTGAGTAAATAGATACCCAACATGTCAGGCTTTAGCCACACGCCCATAGAACATTTACACTCACTGGCCACTTTATTAGGTACACCTTGCTAATACCAAGAAAATTTCCCCCACACCATGACACACACCACCACCACTGGCCTGAAGCCCGCCGATACAAGGCAGGATGGAGATTTTTTTATTTATGTATTAATGTCATACATATCCATCCTCAACTTATATATAAAAGTACAAAATATAATAAATAGAATAAATAAATACAAAACTAAACAAAGAAACTGAAAAAGTCCCAACAACCCCTGTGGGAGAAATAATAAACAAAGAACATAAAAGTCCATAACCTGAAAGGAAAAAACGGAACTTATATACACAATATGTACAGTACAAGGCCTTCTATGGCCAAGACCATATAATTAGGAGCCTTTATGGCTCAGACATAAACGTAAACCATAAACAATTTCCATACTAAACCTGCCGCTTACGGCCTATATGGCCCAAACTATACACACAAAAAACACCTAACCATTTTATACACTATGGGGAGGGCTAAGGAACCCGCAGATCTTCCACGTCTGACACCTACAACCTACCATGCAAAAGGCTACCAAAAAGACCGAAACGCAAAAGCTAGGGAGTGCAAGAGGCAGAAAACAGGGACAGTTCCCATCACCCGAGATCAACAGACCGCAGCAACAGGCTTGATGTTCCTCCACGCCTCCATCCAAGCCCTACGCCGCAGCCTGTCTTTCTCAAGACCCCGAATTTTCCCAACCTCACCAAGAATGTCACTCACCACCACCTGAACAGGGAGGACCTTCTGCCGAATGGAGACCTGACACCGTGCCATCCAAATGTAGTAACGGACAACTAAGCTGACTAAAAACAAGGTGTCCAAATCAAAACCCATGCGACGCTCGAATGCTCCGTACACCCACTCCGCATACGACATGCGATGGAGGAAAGGAACACCCAGAGACCCTCCCACCTGTTTATACACCTCTACGTTAAAGGGGCACCGAAGCAAGAAGTGGTCCATAGTCTCCACTTCACCCCCACACACTCCGACCTCGGACAACCACGGTCATCCGGAGGACGGTACTTATCAGGTTACCCCTCACGTAGAGCCTGCCGTGGAAGGCGAGCCAGGCCTGGTCCCGCAACTTCAGGGGGATCCGCTCCAGATTTATCAACCGCAAACCCTCCCTCAAAACATGGCCCGGGCAATCTCTCAAGGCCAGCGGCGCATGGAAAGCAGATGCCACAATCCTCTCACCCAGGAGCCTCCTAGGGAGGGACCGGACCTCCTCCGCAGTCACATGCCACCGCCGGAGTAACTTCAGGCACGGGGCCGCATAAGCCGGGAGCTTACCATGCTTGACCCGCAGGCTTCTCACTGGCCCACCACTCTCCCAACTGTGCAGAAAGGGTCCAAACCAGATCCGGAACAGTCCTACCCATGCAGGCGGACTCTCTGCCAGCATGTTACCAAAGTTATGTTTCAAGAACATCAGAGAGAAAAAGACCACCGGGTTGACCATACCTAGGCCACCCTCCCGCCTGGATGAGTAAGTCACGTCCCTCTTGACGAGGTTCAGCCGATTCCCCCATAACATCTGGAAGAAACAGCTATAGATCCTCGCATAGAGCGATTCTGGCAAGAGGCAAACGAAGCTGACGTATAAAAAGACTGGGAGCAGGAAAGTCTTGATCAAGTCAACCCTTTCCCTCAAGGAGAGCCGCCACCCCCTTCCAGCATCTCACTTTGACCTCGGCATCCGACAGCTTGGATTCCCAATTTTGCTTGCTGTAATCAGCAGGGCCAAAATTGATGCCCAACACTTTGATGTTCGGCTGAGGCACTGGGAAGGCGTCCGGGAGTGAGAAGCTCTCACCCTCCCTGCCCATCCAAAGAACTTCACATTTGTCCTGATTGACCTTGGAACCTGATGCCTCGGCATACTGATCCATTACTGAAACCACCTCCTGCGCCTCCTCTGGTCCAGAAATGAAAACAGAAACGTCATCAGCATAAGCCACAACTCTCAAAGGCGGATCTCCAGTGGCACCCACCGGCACCCCGCTCACTGCCCCGCCATCTAGCCTCCTGACGAAGGGGTCGATGGCAAAGGCATAGAGCAAGGGACTCAGCGGGCACCCCTGGCGCACCCCAGATCCAACCTCAAAGGGCTGCCCAACCCAACCATTCACCAACATGAAGCTCTCAGCCCCTTGGTACAAAGTCTTCAACCAGCCGATGAACCTCCCCTCCAAACCATACCGGTCTAGGAGATGCCAGAGGTACTTGTGATCAACCGATCAAAGGCCTTTGCCTGATCCACCGCCAGCAAGTACTTTCCCCCATCCTTCAGCCTTACATCGCTCCAGAGCCTCCCGGACAGCTAACACCGCTGTAAAGGTACTCCTGCCCTGAACCGAGCAATGCTGCTGATGGGAAAGCAAACTGTCTGCCACTGACGACAAGCGCCAGAACAAGATCTTCGCCAGAACCTTTCTATCGACATTGAGGAGGCTGATGGGGCGCCAGTTCTCAATAGCCGAAGGATCCTTACCCTTTGACAGGAGGATAACTGCAGACTGTCTCATGGAAGGAGGGAGAGATCCCTCATCCAGACAGCTGTTATACACTTCCGTGAGACGAGGTGCCAGGCGGGATTTAAAAGCCTTAAAAAATTCGGCTGTCAGACCGTCTGGCCCAGGAGTCTTCTTAATGGCCAGACTATCAATCGCTCTGGACACCTCTTCTGCAGTAATCTCTCCAGTCAAACTCGCCAGAGGGACATCACTGTCCAGACCAGGCGTGGATTCCAAAAAGCTCGACATCCCTGTCCGGTCAAGGTGCTTCTCACTCAGTAAATCCGCATAAAAGGACCTGGAGACCTCCAGAATCCCCGACCTGGATTTAGTCAGGGACCCCCGTACTATCCCTCAGAGCAGAGATCGTCTTAACTGCTGCACTCCGTTTGCAATTCTGGAAAGGGTCGGGTGAGTGGTATTTCCCATAATCCCTCTCCAGAACCAAAGAGGCACGCCGATCATACTGGAATTGCCTGAGGAGAAGCTTTACCTCCGAGATTGCCCCCGAATCTCCACCGCTAGAAACAAGGCGGTCGAGCTTCCTCCGCAACCGCTGGTAGGCGTTATACTGTTTAAACTGCCGTCTCTTACCAATGGCCTTGAAAAACCTGCTGATCCGCACCTTGGTGAGCTCCCACCACTCAGACTTACTGCTGCAGAAATCCAGCACAGTCTCCTGCGCCTGAAAGAACTCCTCGAAAGATCGTCTCACCTCCTCGTCCTCCAGCAGAGACGAATTCATCCTCCAGATGCCCTTTCCTCTCAGCGGCGTGTCTGAAATATTCAAGGTGACAGATAGCATAAGGTGATCGGAAAACTCCACCGCCCGACACTCAGGTGCCGAGAGGCAGAGTTCTCCTTCAAAAAAAACCTGTCTATCCTACTCTGGCTATTACCTCTCCTATAGGTGAAACCCGTGCCGTCTGGGACACTTTGAATCCAAGCGTCAACCAGACCTGCCTCCCTGACTATAGCATTTAGAAAAACGCTGTCGTATCCCAGCCTGTCAGTGAAGCCTCTCCTGTCCTTGGGCCTAGTAATGGTGTTAAAATCACCTCCAAAGACCACCAGCCGGGATGTAAAGAGGTAAGGTTTAATCCTCGCAAAGAGGTTCTTCCTGTCCCACTTGGACTGTGGGCCATAGATATTGATGAGCCGGAGCTCTTGCCCCCCTTACGAGAACATCCAGAATCAGACATCTTCCGATCTCTACCTCAATTATCCGCCGACACGTTACCATGCCGGTAAAAAGCACCGCGACTCCCGCTGTAAGGCTCAGCCGCAAGAGACCAGTAGGAGGGCCCACGCCTCCACTCACGCTTAGCCAGATGGACATCAGCCAAGGTGGGCAACCTGGTCTCCTGCAAAAAGAAAATATCAGCTTCCATCCCACTGATCAAAAATAAGGCTGTTTCTCTAGCACTTACAGACTTTATGCTGGCAACATTAATGGTTGCCACCTTTATCGGAGCGGGAACTGCCATTAAGATAATTGAGAGGGACGTTTCTTAACCCTCCTCCTGACTTTTTTAGCAGGGTCCCTTACACGCTTCAGGAGCCCTCTCGCTTCCTCATCCTCCATCGGAGAAGTGGGATCCAACTCACCCTCATCCCCCGATAGAGCCCCAAACCGGTTTTCCAGGGCCACCTCCCCCACCTCCAGAGAGGAGACTGACCCCGCAGGGGATAGAACAGGCCTATTATGCCTACCCCCAGACACCTGGGACCACCCCTCCTCCTCCTGAGCCCCTACCGGGACAGAACCCTGGGACTCCTGAGGCCCCTTACCAGGCTTCTCCCTCCGCAAAGGCAAGAGCACAGGGGGAGCGGCCACAACTATGCTAGACCTTGCCTCCACCAACCCAGCCCCCCTAGCAGCCTCCCTCAGCAGTTTCTTGTTCCTAGGAGGGGGGACAGGCATGCCAGAAGGGGCGACAGAGGACACAACTGGGACAGATGGGGCAGAAGGGGCAGAGACCAAAGAAGCCTCAGCAGCCTCCACCTCCCCCGCCAGGGTAGCTGCCAAAGCCGAAGCAGCCCTCACTAACTCCTCCCCCGCCTCCTCCGCATCCATGCGGGAAAACTCAGCTGCCAACTCTCCCACAGGGAGGTTATGGAGGGCTTCTGGGCACCTGTTGTACGAGTGCCCCTCCGTACCACAGAGGTTGCACTTGATGATATTGCAATCTCTTGCCAAGTGCCCTATCTCCTGGCAGAGAGAGCAACGTACAACTGGGCAGGTGGCAGCAAAATGCCCCTTAGCCCCACACCGGTGACAGACCCTCGGCTGGCCAGGATAAAAGATAATTAACCGATCCTTCCCCAAGAACGCAGAGGAGGGGACATGCTGGATAACATTCCCGACCACACGGAGGTGAACAGAAGCCGTCCACCCACCGGTCCATATCCCCCGGTCATCCAGGACCTTTCCCAAGGGCCCCAACACATCTCCATACCTGCCCAACCAGACCTGGATATCCGCAGCAGGGATGGATTCATTCCGCACCAGGATTGTAACCTTCTTAACCAGGGACTGACGGGACAAAAGCCGGGGGGTCAAACCCACCCACCTGGGACTGGACACAAAAGTGGCCTCATACCGCTGCCAAAATAAATCAAGATGGTCAGGTCGCATGAAAGAGACATCATATTCCCCGCTCCCAACCGGAGCGATAAAGGCAAAGATTTCACTTGCCTGGAACCCCATCTCCAGAATTCGGTCGATTACCTCCCTCCTACCAAGGGGGGACCCACCCCTGTCCACTTAATTTGGACAACATTGCGCCTGGCTGCTGAAGTGGGTAGGTTGCCTGCCCTTGCCCTGGCTGACCCCATGGGCACTGGACCACCCCTAACCGCCGCTGAGTAGCTCAACGCGGGCTTAGGGACACTTATACCAGGGGAGCCTGCAGGAGGAACCACTGCACTGGCAGCCAAGACAGGGGGCACAGGCTGTGAAACACTGGGACCCCAGGGAGCTGGGAGGTGGGCATCACTCACCGGGGCAGGGGAGCCCACCTGGACTTGACCCACAGTAGCCTGTACTAGGGGCTCAGAAGACAACTCCCCCCGAGGAGTAGTATGAGGCTGTACACCCGCAGCCATCACAACCCCCGAGGGGCGCGGGCCCGGCAGGACTACTGGGGAGAGGAGACCCCTAGTCAGAACCGTGGGGCGGACCTGCGCTCCTGACACATCAACAGATATACCATTTGTCACCCCCATGCCCAAGAATACCTCACCAGTCCCAGTAGCAGAGTCCTGTCCATTGTGTCCTGAGGGAAGTTCCCCAGCCTTAGCCAGCACCTCCTGCAGACTGTGATCCAGCCGCACGAAAGCGGCACGCTCCCTGGCCACCGGCTTGGCGGGTTTGCGCGGGATGACGTCACTTCCGGCGTCCACTTCCTCCTCCTCGGATGAAAACTGGAAGTCCGCATGACGCAGTTCCGGTCCTTCCTCCACTGTAAACTGGAGCCCACCTGCCAGCTCTGCCTCCTCCATCTGTGTCCCCCAATCTGTGGGATGCTGCCCAGGGGGGAGAGACTCTGATAATTCTGCAGCCGCACGCTCCTCCATATCAGGCCGAACCTCTTCCTCCACCGACACAGCGGGCTCAGCCAGCCCCTGTCTCCTCTCACCATCCTCCGACAACTCCACTGCAAGATCCTCCACAGATGAGGCCTCCTCCACAGGGCCCCGCACAGCCGCTACCCTGCGGCTCCTCGCGGCCTTGAACTTGGCCTCATTTAGATACCGCTCACTAAGGGCCCCACTCTTCCGCTGCAGCGCCAAAACATACCGCTCCTGTTGGGACACCTGGAGCTCCAAGGCCTCCAGACCTGGCTTCATCGCCTGCCTCTTGGAGGACCACACGCGTAAGTAAGAGGTGCGCAGCTTCTTCAAATCAAGAGACAGCTTCTTAAGCTTTGCCCCCTCCTGCTCCACCAGCCTGATCCGAGCCGCCACCCGCTCCCTGTATTGGGAGTAGGTCTCCCCCATCTTTGGGCCCGTTCCCAGGTCCTCCACTGCTGGGATTCGGAGGCCGGTACTAAGTCCCTCCAGGGTACTAACCTCGCTGGACTCAGGTCCCTCCTTCCTTCCTGGATCGGGCAGGGCACTTGGGGTCCCAGGCTTTGGGGCCTTCTTCCCTCCAGGACTAGGCCCAGGGTCTTCCATCCTGTTTAAGCCGGATACATCCCCTGAGGTCCCAGGCTTTGGGGCCTTCAGGTCAGCAGAACCAGGCCCAGGGACCGACATCCCACCTGGGCTGGGTTGGGGCAGGCAAGCCCCAGGCCCCTCAAGCTGTCCTGCAGCTCAGCAGCAGCAGCTCCTCACACAGCCTCTCCTCACAGATCCAGGAAATGACTGACCTGCTGTGCAGGCTGCAGTACCAGTGCTGGCCAGCGGATCACCAGGCAGGATGGATCCCCACACCATGACACCACCACCACTGGCCTGAACCGCTGATACAAGGCAGGATGGATCCCCCACACCATGACACCACCACCACTGGCCTGAACCGCTGATACAAGGCAGGATGGATCCCCCACACCATGACACCACCACCACCAGCCTGAACCGTTGATACAAGGCAGGATGGATCCTCCACACCATGACAC